AAACACAAGCAGGGGGAGTGGGAGAGGGAGAAGCAGGCTTCCCGCGGAGCAGGGAGCCCGATGCGGGGTTTGATCCCAGGACTCTGGGAGCGTGACCTGAGCCGAAAGCAGACGCTTAACGACTGAGCCACGCAGGCGCCCCGACTTAATGACTTTAGTAGTCACAGAATTAAAAAGCCCAGAAGAACGTCACTGAATATTATACTAATGATTACTGACATAGAAATGAGCTTAAATAACAATTCAATTACCTCTGAAAGTTATTTAGTGTAATAAGCCATTTTCTAGTGAAACCATATAAATTTAGGAAACCAAACCAATATCTGGTTTCAAAAGCTGATCTTGTAGAAAACAAGGAAGAAATTTCTAATGTTTAGGTGAAGTCACATAGCTGAATTGTTGGCACTTTACAGTTGCATCATAAATACATGCTTGTTAAGTAAATTAGGTTTTGGGTTTTTTTGCTGCTATATGTAAGAAATAAATTCTTTTGAAAGAATACCTCTTTAAGCTGTAATAAAAATTTATGTGTGATAAATTTAAGCATATTGAAATAAATTGTGTTTCAGGATTATGTAGATCTAATTACTGATTTTTTAAATTTTTCCAAGATTTTTATTGAAGGATGGCCAACTGTGGCTCTGTGCTCCTCAGGCAAAACAAATCTGGAAATGCTTAGCAGAGAATGCAGTTTACCTTTGTGATCGTGAAGCCTGTTTTAAGTGGTATTCCAAGTTAATGGGTGATGAACCAGACTTAGATCCTGATATTAATAAGGACTTCTTTGAAAGTAATGTGCTTCAGCTTGATCCCTCCCTGTTAACTGAAAATGGAATGAAATGTTTTGAACGATTCTTCAAAGCAGTTAATTGCCGTGAAGGGAAACTAGTAGCAAAAAGAAGAGCCTATATGATGGATGATTTGGAACTAATAGGATTAGACTACCTTTGGAGGGTAAGTGAGAAGTAGGAACTCTTGTTTGCAGACATTGTACGTGAGGTCGTTTTTTAAATATACTTAAACCATAATTTTGCCTGTAAGTTACTTGTATTTATCCCCTGCTTTGATGTTTGTCATAGGAATCTGGGGGGAGAAATTGTTCATCTTTAGCTACTGCTTATATCACACCTGTTTGCCAGTGGCTTGGGTTTTTTTCCCCCTCAGTTTTTTCTTTTACCATCTGCCACTGGTATTCTTGTTTGACTTCACCCAGAATCTTTTCAGATGTATATGAGTATACCATCCATTGTCTACCCACACGTTTTTCATCCACCCCTCATGAAAGTTGTTGTCTCTTTTACTTAGGTTTTCGGAGTTAATTTTATGTTTAATGCCAAAATGAATAATGGACAGAAGAGAAGACTCTTACTTGGGAGGAACTTTGAGTTAATACCTTTATTGACACTTTAATTTTTTATTTGTTTAAGTATCAGAGAAAAGTTTAGCTGTATTCTGTTTAAGGTTAACATTGCCATTTTGGTAGTGTAAATAAATCATGTTGCCATCTTAAATCTAACCTGTTATAAGTTACATATTTCAACTTTTACTTTATTTTTGTTGTATTGAGTTTTTGTTCTTTGTATTTTTTTTTTGCAAACTGTATTTTTCATTAAAGTTGGTGATTTTCAAATATTTTTTTTCTTTTTCTTTTTTTTTAAAGATTTTATTTATTCATGAGAGATGGAGAGAGAGAGGGAGAGAGAGAGAGAGAGAAGCAGAGGGAGAAGCAGGCTCCCAAGGAGCAGGGAGCCCAATGTGGGACTCAATCCCAGGACCCTGGGATCATGACCTGAGCCGAAGGCAGACGCTTAACCATCTGAGCCACCCAGGCGCCCATGATTTTCAAATATTTTTAAAAAGCAGTAACCTCTATAATAAATTATGTAATACCAGTTGAATTACTCCTTGAAAATATCACAGCTTGTCTACCAGTTGCAGAGTTAAATAATACTGATTAAAATTTATTTTATCCTTTTCATTTTTAAGTAAATTTCTCTATTCAGAACACCTACATTTTATATATATTAATCCTTTATTTTCAGGCTTATTTAATTTTATCTTGCCTCATTTAAGTGCCATATTAAAATAGTTCTTGAATGTTACTAATACTCTAATTTTTGGATCTAGGTTGTGATTCAGAGTAATGATGACATTGCCAACAGAGCTATAGATCTCCTTAAAGAGATATATACAAACCTTGGCCCCAGGTTACAGGTCAATCAGGTGAGGTTTCAAGTGCATAAAAACTTCTGCTTCAGCTGGGTCAGAAGTACTCTTGTGTTTGAGGAAGCTTTTTAAACTTAAAACTAGAAATTAATTTTTTAACTCTTGTCATAATATTTAAATATTTAATCCACATCTGTCCCTTATAAAATACTAACTGAAAGAATGTTGGCTTGGTAATTATCCTTAGGTGGTTAGTAGTATGTCAAACAAAATTATTCATTATTTATGTTGAGATAGCCAAAAGTTTAACTGATTTGACCCTTAGTCCCAAACGTTTTTTTCTTGTTGTTTTTAATAATTGGTTTAATCACTTATTTTCTTGTTAGCAGCTTCCTTCTGTGTATTATATTACTGGATAAATATGTAATTGATAGTTACCTACAAGTTGAAATTTTATTTTATTTTTTAAATTACTGACTGCCATACTTGTTTTTGAAGGAACTAAACTATCTTGCTTTGGCCTATTACTTATAGGTGGTTATCCATGAAGACTTCATCCAATCTTGCTTTGATCGTTTGAAAGCCTCATATGATACATTATGTGTTTTGGATGGTGATGAAGACAGTATTAATTGTGCAAGACAGGAAGCCATTCGAATGGTTCGAGTATTAACTGTTTTAAGGGAATACATAAATGAATGTGACAGCGATTATCATGAGGAAAGAACGATTCTACCTATGTCCAGGTTTGTAAGAAGTTGATCCACTAGTTAATGTGCAGTCATTTATTATCTTCCTAGCCAATTAATTAGGAAAGTAATGACTTTGATAGGTTAAGGGGCAGTAAAGAAAATTTTCATTCTGGATTTCTGTGTCCTACATTTTAAAAACAGTATTTGCATTCTCGTAGATGTTATTTTGGTTTTTTTTGTTTGTTTGATTATTTAAGATTTTATTTATTTATTGGACAGACAGAGACACAGTGAGAGAGGGAACACAAACAGGGGGATTGGGAGAGGGAGAAGCAGGCTTCCCGCTGAGCCGGGAGCCTGATGTGGGGCTTGATCCCAGGACCGTGGGATCATGACCTGAGCCGAAGGCAGACGCTTAACAATCTGAGCCACCCAGGTGCCCCCAAAATAAAATTCTGAAAAGCTACTTATTTAATAAATATGAAGAAGAAAGTCTTAAAGTGATCTTTGCTAAATTTTTTTAGATTTGGGAACTATAAAATAATTTACTAAATTAAATGTTAGTATAATAAATTATAAATAAATTCAGTATTATGCAATATAAATCATAATCATAAATTAAGTAGACAGCAAGCTAACTTATTTAAAAATAGTTCAAATGGCATTTTCACGTTTGGGAGAAGTTTATAGAGTAAGTACTGTCAGATTTTTTTAAATTGTGATCACTTTTATAAATAAATGTAGAATGTTTCTTGAATATTTTTGTTTTGTATCTTACCTGTGAGAAGAGAGTATTGCAAGGTAAGTATTTTTGAGTGACTTTTGTTTTTAAGAATTTTTGTAAATGTTTAATGGAATGTTAATGCATTTTAATATTTCTGTTGATACTTTCAAGTTGAAATGTATCTCTTCTACATTTGAAACTATTCTTAGGTATTGAACTTTTGTAGCTTAAAATTAACTGGTGTCTGTTACAACTTATCATAAAGTGGAAATCTTTGGTTCTGCAGCCATAGAAACAAAGATTAACCAGTGGAATATAATCATATTGTATTTCCAAAATTAACTATGATGTTCATAATCTACAGAAACAAAGTTATTTTTAATATTCTAAAAAAAAGTAAATTCAACTATCTT